TGTGATGTGTACCAAGTTATCTAGCCCATCCATTAAGAGGTACTACGAGTATATATGACATGAAGGATTATAATGATCCGTTTTTGTTCGTTGATCGTTCGTTTGTCTATCTGGGTCTCCCTCAGAAGAACTGAGGGTCTCACCCGGCTGGGTTTATCGCCCGGGCTCATATTTGTGGGCGGCGTTGGAACCCACAGACAGAAGGCTATGCCCTGAAGCCGTTACCCACGACCGATTTTGAAAGTTCTCTAATTCTTAGAAAACTTCGATATACATATTATATAGGAACGTAAGTACGTAAGGTATGGATTACGTTTTAGCCTGATACATGAAATGGTGGAATATCACAAATAAAATATAATACAAATAACTAAATAAATTCCGTCCAGAATATTTATTAGTAACCTTGTATTTTTTTGTAAATACTTATAATATAATCATTTTTTTTTAATGAAAATACAGTATTTGAATTTATAAACTGTAAAATGTTATTACCTACTGTGTCGTTTCATATGTAGAATATAAAAAAATCTCTTATATTAAATGTTTATCAAAGCATAATCTCCTTTTTCGTTTGCGGATGTTCATTCCAGCTTGGAAACGATAACGCGTCGATGGTTACCGCTACGCAGCACGCACCATCCCTGGTCTTTACGTCAAACAAACTTTTATACAACCTTTTTATGTAATTCATACCATATACAATATACATACTAATATTATATATATATATATATATATATATATATATATATATATATATATATATATATATATCGTTGTTTAGTAAAAACTGAGCTAAGCTAATTTCCATAAGGTAATGAGTAATGATATAGCATCAAGAAGACGTAAATGAACTACCTTTTATAATCGAGCAGAGTCATGAGCTGTGATGAATCTATACTAATATCATAAAGAGGTAAAGTTTGAGAGATTGTGAGTTTGTTAGTTTGTGACGTTGTTGAGGGTAATCTCTGGATCTACTGAACCGATTTAGATGAAATTTGGTGAGAAGATAGTTTGAGAGCCTGAAAAGGACATAGGATTTTATCCCGGAAATCATCATTTAAGGGGTGAAAATGGGGATGAAAGTTTGTATAGGAAATCAAGCTAGGGATGAACCCAAGCGAAGCGAAGGTGAGTCACTAGTTTAAAATAAAATAGAAATTAATCTCCATAAATATAGCAAAGAGGTAAGTCACTAGTAATAAATAACTAAGTAAAATCTAAATCTTAGGTAGTTTTAGCATTAAAGAAACCACAGATGAACAATACAATCAAACTTTATTTAATAAAAACTAAATTAGTTCAGTTCAGTTTTAGTTACACGTTTCCTTCATAAAAACTACTGAATCGATTTTGATAAAATTTTTACTATTCCCTAAGTTAAAATAAATGCAAAAGTAAAAGCAGATATAAAAAGAATAATCACGACCTGATGACTAATTTCGGAGAAATAGGTGGACAAACATACATACATACACCTATAAAATTTTGTATATTTGTTTGGAAGCCCTAATAGATTATCATATGTGAATATTTTGCAGTTCCAATAATATTATATACATACCTTTCGAATAGATAACCTCCTTTTTTTGAAGTCGGTTCAAAAAGTAGACTTTTTAATGAATTCATAATGCCATATCGGGAACTTTTTTAAACGGAATTGCAGCGCTAACAACACAAAATCTGTTCAAAAAAGTTGATATATCTCTTAAGGAGCTTTCTTCCTTCCTTCAACAATAGTATTGAAAACAAAATCCTACCATAAAACAAAAGTAAGGCAAACTGCAAACGTAAACTACTAAAGCTTCTTAATTTCGATGATTTTATTCCCTTTACGTAACCTCAATATAAAATTAGGTTTTTTTTAATATAAAACCTTTACATACTTTTTATATTTTAAATATATTTACACCATAATCGGACAACTTGACGATACGTTTGGCTCAGTTTGTAGTGACCCTACTTACTGGCCAGCGGTCACGGGTTCGAGTCCCGCTGGGAGCATTCATTTGTGTGATGAGCACGAATATTTGTACTTCAGTCATGGGTGTTTATATTTATAATATGTATGTATTTAAAGTTATATATGTGTAGTGTATCAACTATCTGGTATACATAACATAGGCTTCGTAGCTTACCATGGAACTAGATGGAAATATGTCCTAACATATTTATTTATTTATAACTATTCTAATTGCAAATGTTTGTATGTCTATGCGTATTTTTGTAACTGCGTCACGCTGGAACGGCTAGACGAACATGGATGTTTATGACACAGATAGGTTACCTGGAGTAATATAATACATAGAGTCTACTATTAGGCACCAAGGGACGTATCCAAGCGACACGATGGTTAGTCACGAGTAATTTAAAAAAAAAACACAGTCTTAAAATTAATTTAATACTTAATTTTAAAATAGAACAACTTTAGTCTAGTACTTGTGTCATGAATAATATAGCTATCGATTGTACACAAGGGAATGAAAATGTCGATAAAAGCCCATAAAACTCTTTTTTCAAAGCAATCGCAAAATTGCATCTCTTCTCGAGTGCACTCAGTATGCGCCATACAAGTTATGAAGGAATTTTTCCGCTGCAATAAACCACAATTTGTATGATGGAACAATACAATGCTAAGTTAACGAGAGATTATAATGGTATCTATAAGTTATATTATAGCGTTGTTTTCTTTATATTTTACTAGCGACAAACCGTAGCTTTGCTCGGATGTGTTTCTACATGTATTTTGCCAAGTGCTGGTTGGAGAACTGTGAAGTTTATCTTTCGAAAACTTGTAAGGTTCTCTCACAGATGCAGGTTATCTCACGATGTTTTCCTTCACCGTAGGAAAAGAGGTTATCATGTTGGAAATGATTCGCACATGAAAATATACGAGGAACGAGACCCGGGACTTGTACCCGTTTCACTTGTTTTCCCAAGCGAGCGTGTTACCACTGAGCTGCCACTGCCTTATAGTAATGTGAACACAAATAATATAAAGACAAAATATATATTTTAGTTATATTAGGTAGATTTTGTTGTGTATATCCAAAGGTTAGGTTAGGGCTAAGCCTCATCCGCTTGAGTTATATGTCCAGTGGACCCATAAACAATATAAACGCTTTTACAAACCATTGGTGTTAGAAACCCCATTAATTCTACTCCTTAATACCTTTGTGGTAATTTTCTTTAATATTAACGAATTTTTATTATAACTTATAAATAAAATTTGAATCTGGCTGTAATTTAAAAAAATGATTTTGATGATGAAGCAATGAAAACCATTAGCTAAATTCTTATATCAGATTATCTTCGAAAAAGTTAAACGGATTTAAATAGAACTTTCACTGACAGATAGAAGATTTTAGTGAAAGTAACAAAATCTACTTATTATCGTCAGAAAGTATTACCGCCCTAACAGAATATAGGAAAGATAAGGAGCTCTTTTTTGTAGGGACATTCAGGGTAGAAAGTGGGGATGAAAATGAGACGGTATTTTTATGCGAAACCACGCTTTTATGATAATGTTTCAAATACACTCCCTGAGATTCATATAAGGTTGCATATTTGTCGCCAACGAGTATATTTATACCGATTCTAAAGATATCTTATGTATTATTAACTGATCTATACATATAATAAAGTTGTAACTAAGCCGAATCTGTACATTAAATATTTTTTGGAAAATCTAATTGAAATAAACATTATTATCGATAACGAGGCCGAATCTATAGTTTTTATAATTTTTGTCTGTCTGTCTGTCTATCTCTCTATTACCGCATCACAGAAAAACCACTGGAGGGATTTCGATGAAATTTGGCATGATGATAGCTGGTTATCCGGGTCAATAGGATACTTTTTAACGCGGGAAAATGTCTCATTTCTGAGAAAAAATACAAAAACTGCTATGTAAGAGTATACTAATATGTAAAACCTAAGAATTTGGTTTTTGGTCATCTAAAAGCGGGCGGAGCCGCGGGCAATGCTAGTTTACATATAAAAGAATATTAAAATTCCAAAGCTAAAAATACAGATAAAAATGTTTAGATAACAAATATCATTAATATTTATTAAGGTTTGAATTCAAAATTTTACAGAATTTCATATGGAAATCACTAACAAGCGTTATTATGAATGCAAAAATTTAAATACGTGCTGGAAAGTTGTTTCAAGTTTTAACAAGATTAAACTAATCATATTATTTGGGCTTTAGACTACAATTTCACTTACATGGAATTTAAAACAATTAAGTGTATTTGATATTTTGCCAGAGACTTATATGACTTTTTTTTCTGAATTTTAAATTGGATCTATTCCATTTTAATTATGCTTTCATGACGTAAATAATATCGTGATAGATTGTCATCCTAAAATTACATATTTATGAAAGAACAGAACCGTAACTATTATACAAATAATTTGATTAAAATAAAGGTCAAAGCAAAGGGTCAAGCTCGAGTTGGAATAGAGCTAATGTTTCCATACCATCAGTCCTTTTACTACTATAGTTTTCCACACCGCTCGGCCAGTTTCTTATATTTTTCTTTGTTAGTTTAATTTAGAACAATATTTTTTGAACAAGTCAACAACAATAACTCTTTTATGTGAAGTTTTATGGAATTTATATCATTCAAGCCATAGAGAAAGTTAGATCTTTCTTATATAATTATTTCTTATATGAGAATCCCCCACTTACCTAACTGATCTTATCTTAATCTGTGTTCTATTATAACGTATTTCCATAAGAAATGCGTCATAACAACGTAATATATTATATGAAATTTTGTAGCGGCTATCTGTTACAGTTTAAAGAAACATACAGACGAAAATGTGTACATTACATTTCTTTGTACTACTCGTATTTTCCATAACATTTGCATAATTATTATTATAAATATTACAAACCAAAGAAAAAAAAATAGTATTAGGAACTTAAGGAATTTCATCTATCCAAGTTCTTTCCGTATTTACTTTATAAACAATAAAGTAGCGGCATGACTGACGCATTACGCTCCATAGTAATGACACAACATAAGCAAAGATGCCGTATCATAGGATATGGGCAGCCATCCAAGTACCAATTTTATGGCAAGAATATATCTTCTGAATATTGCGAATCTGAAGAGGTTCATTTACACAAATATGTTCTTATACCTAAGACTACAGTATTACGTAACAAGTCTCGAAGAATAGTAACGAATGTGAATATTTCTAAGTGATAATATCGTAAACTAATTTACTAAATTGACTGAGTATATAGTATAATTATACATATGTAACTTAGTTGTTTGAAGTTATTTTTGTGATATATTTTTCTTTTACATAAGATCTTATAAGTAACTTACAACTAAGCGTTGAATTGTCTTTTTTTATGGTATGGTCTGGTCTGGTATGTAAATTTTTTTATAATTATTATTCGGTAAAGTGAAGATGAAGCAGTAATAACTCACTCGCTTGGAATACCGGGTGAAACGAGTCCCAATCCTGTGTCTTGCGCTTACGATATTTTCATGCGCAAATCATTTCTAACTTATTAAATTTTCCTTAACATAATATTACTTAGTAATAAATCATCGTATAACGGAATTCTTTAGGAAAGTATTTTTTAATATTAAATTTACTTCTGCTCGTGGATTTGCGCGTACCTACTTATGTTGTACCTACGTATATTTTAAATAAAATTATCTATTCGGACTTTTTTTGCGGATTTATTTTGATTTTTGGTTCTCGACGTTACGAATGCTTTACAGCAATCATGATCACGGGAGAGACAGTAAAATTTTAAATGTCTCAAAGGCATTGTACAGTTGTTACAAACCGTGCCTACCCACAAAATTACAAAATGAATTCAAAAATACAAAAATGGCACCCAAGTACCTTATAATATTGGTTATTTTTTTATAACTTTAATAAGTTTTACAGTTCAATCTGTAATTATAATTATATAAAACAGTTTAAAAAAAATCGCCTAAATCTATGAAACTATTATTATGTCAACTTAATTATATTTCTAAAACAAATTTCAATTTAAAATTAAAAAAAAACATAAAACCTGACAAAATACCCAACTAAACACATCATGTAAAATTTTGCCCGGTTACCATTTCATCAAATGAATAGAAGAGTGAAAATATAGCGTGTCGCAGAAACATTTCTTTGATTACTTAATCAGACATACACTCACACTAATTCTATTTCGTATTTCCATGGATCATCGTTCACGAAATTATAACGTAGAAAACATTAAATAACGTAATATTTGTAATATATCAAATGAAAACTAACTGGAAATGTGCGTGCTGTTTCGCTGTCGACACAAAAGTATTTTTTGATACTTTTATTTTACAAATAAATTTCATTTTAAGATTTTAACTTTCAGTATATGATGCGTTTAATTAAGAAATTTCAATAAACTTATCTATACTAATATTATAAAGAGGCAGAGTTTGTTTGTTTCTTTGAACGCACTAATCTCAGGAACTACTAATCCGATTCGAAAAATATTTTTTTGCATTAGATAGCCCGTTTATTGAGGAACGTGGGTTTATCTTTAGAGATACCACATATTAAATAGTCGATCTATTCCATACTAACCTTTAAAACTTTCTGTACGTAACGATGAGTCGCTAGTTATGGATATTATTAAGTTATTCATAATATCCCATGTGTACTTACATTTTCGTAAAAGGGTATTTTTAGAACAAAGTTGAGTACAGAAAAGTGTTTGTTATCGAATCGCAAATATAATTTATAAGCATATTATGTTAGAATAAATAGTATTGGAAATGGAAATCCTGTTATTTGCTAAAGCAATAAACTCTGTATATAACAAAGAAAACTGACCCTGAAATAAAACAGGCTAGTGAAGCATATATTATGTAAATATTATTTAATATATTAAACGTGTTATAAAAATTGTTATCTATTGATATCTAAAGGCAGAAAGAAATTCGTATTTGGTAGATTATAGTTACGTTTGCGAAAAAATACGAAGTTTGTCACCAAAACTTTTACACGTAAATTTTAGTACGGGCAATATTTTCGAATTACCTACTTATAAAAGTAGTAAAGCAAAGGAAAGTTAAAAAATGATTAATGATCCTTATTAATATTATAAATGAAAAGTTTAAGAGTATGTGTGGATGTTTGTCACTCTTTCACGCCGGAATGGCAGAACAGATCTGGATGAAATTTGGCACAGAAATAGATTATAGTCTGGAATAACGCATAGGCTACATTTTATGTCGGAAAAATGTACGGTTCCCGTGGGATAGGTTTGTTTTTGTTTTCCTAGAGGTGAACCCAAGCGAAGTGAGGGTGAGTTGCTAGTTATAAATAATTTTCTGGCTTGATTTAAACAAAATAAGTTAGTCAAGTCAGTGCCTTGTTACTGTTCCCTGAAACTTTTATTTGGATTTAATGATTTATCTGGATTTTCATAATAAAAAAATACATAAATAAATTCAATTTTCTTGTTAATGGCTTCAAAATTTACCAGTAGACTACAAATTAATAATTAATAATAATAACTCTAAATTCAAGATTAAGAGTTTATGTTGTCATGTGATTGTCATTCATGTCATTTAATCAATCAATCTAATTTATTAATCACTAGCACTGCCCGCGGCTTCACCCTCATTCAGATAACCAAAAACCAAATTCTTAGGTTTTACATGTTAGTATACTCTTACATTGCAGTTTTTGTATTTACTCTCAATAATGAGATATTTTCCCGTGGTAACAAGTATCGTATATATTGACCCGGATAACTAGCTACTATCATGCCAAATTTCATCAAAATCCCTCCAGTGGTTTTTCCGTGATGCGGTATCAGACAGACAGATAGACAGACAAAAATTCTAAAAACTATAGATTCGGCCTCTGTATCGATAATAATGTTTATTTTAATAAGATTTTCCAAAAAATATTTAATGTACAGACTCGCTTAGTTACAATTTTATTATATGTATAGATAAAAGTAGCTAACAAAAGTAGGATCATTTTATTATAACGTGTAACGCGTTCGTATACTGATCATACGAAAAGAGAATGACAAAACTAAGCACTAACACGCTTTTCTGAAGGAAGAATTTGAATACATTACTATTTTTTTTTAAATCAATCATGGAATTTAGATTTAGAAATGGAAGGAAGAGTGCTACAACCAAATATTATTAGGTTCTAAATCTAATCTTTTTTCTTTAGTGGCAAATCTAATCAATCTAGTACCAATTAGTGCAGAGAATTGAGCAGCAAAGAATCATATATAGTTTTATTGTCAACAACTATTAAAATATACACATAAATGTAGATTGGCAGGTATAATAATGTACTTGATTAATTTCAAGAGAAATATGAGTTACCTAAAGTAAAAATGGGTCAGCACTCAATTTATAAAGTGTCCTTCACAATCATTTTATTATAATAGATGTCGCAAACACTTCCATCAATTTTAACATTGAAAATAAAATTATTGCTTAGTCATAATTTTGTTAATTAATTTTGCTTGGATCTTTAGGAATTGTAAAAAATATCTCTTATATGACTATTATGTATTACTTTATTTTTTACTAATTTTCAAGTTTCAAAATATATTTTTACGTAAATAAGAAAACTGACAAAATCTATAATCATCTTCCTCGCTATAGAATAAGCACTTTGTTTCTCCTAAACATGATATATTACTGAGTTCTTCGATGCAGAATAATCTTCAATATCACGGTTATTTACATTGTCATATTGATCCTTTTTGATACCAGATGACTATCCTTTAAATCATCTTTAGTCAAAATAAACTAATATTTTCTATGCTTAGTATCTTTTATATAATATTCGTAAGAATAAAAGTTATAAAAATTACTTTCAAATTCTTCAAACTTAATCATTACGAAAATTAAAATAAAACTCGAGAAGTGTAATAATTCGTCACTTTCAACTTGAGAGATTAATATGTTTACCAAAATCCCTTTGAGCCAATTCGCTCCAGAACAACCTTGGGAATCTCCACAAATCATCGTTGCAATTTTAGTAATAATTGATTATAGATTGCCATATACTTTCTAAACACTTTTTTTTATTGAAATAAAACAATGTTTAGATACGTAATAAATAGGCAATCGTTTCGAATGTATTGACGAAATATTCAACGTTGTTTGCAATATCTAATTTGTACTTGATAACCTAAGTGCAATCAAACCATTGATCTAAGTGCATTTAATTCCTCTATATCCATTGTGAAACGGGCAGCTAAATGAGTGTGTACGTGCTGTGTATATTGCTTGAGTTGATGGGCTCCCAAAGCATGACATAACATTTTCATCGGCTGTTGTAATATCCATGATGATGCTTTTAAAAATGATAAAAATCACATCCGGCGCTAAATTATCTAACAAAAAATTAAAATTTTATAAACATTCAAGCTAATTTCACATTGCTTGGCGATGATATGTTCTCTATGTATTGGTATAGAACGATTTGTTTTATGATAAGCTACATTGAGTGCTAGTTCAGAATAATTATGTGGTAATATGGTCTCAAGGAGGCTACAGGAACGTCACATTCGCCAACTAACAGATAATTTGTGATCATCCACAAATATTGCCCGATCATTGACTGCACAACCTGACGTGAGTTCAAGACTTGACCTTAATAAAGATGCTAATTCTATATCTAAAAAAATAATTTCTCTAGATGGAAACATCATGCAGGGCTCTAATTATGCTCTATTTATCCCATATAATATTCAAGTATTTTTATATCTTTATATTTGTTAAAATTAATCAAGTCCAGTACCAATTTCTGAACTATTGAAGATTTTTCAAATATTACGATGAGAGAGATTGTACAGTCAATCGGTGGTGGCAGTGCAAAATGCAGTATTACGAGCGCACCGTTCTAACGTAGTTGACCGTGTCTCCTGTGGCTTCAGTAAACGCGCGCCTTAGTCGGGCCCGGCGAGTCTGCGACAGGGTTTGTGGACAGAGGAGCAGCCCCTGTAGGTTGAAAACAGAAATCAAATCAAACATTAAAAATTTGATTTGATTTGAAAGGAACCTCTCAAGACCCTTACACAGCACTTACACGCCGCTCTAAATGCATCTGGAACAGCTTACAGTGGAAGGTACTCTTGAATGTATAATGGAAATGAACTGTTGAATAGCAAAATAACGTAATTCATAATGTCTAAGTATGAATGAGGCACTTAAAATTCTCTGTAAAGTTAATATGTGCCAGATCGTTACTACGTGCATAAGGCAAGTCAAATTGCCGTGACTCTCGAAGGTACGCTTTAAAGAGGTTTTATTTAATGCTGACATTAAATAAGGATTTCTTCACACCACTGAGTTTTAGAATAAAATAAATGATTTAGAAAAAAAATACAAAAATTTCAGTCACAGTTTACTTACGTAACTCATTTTACCAATAAATCGTTTCTAATGGAAATATTTTAAGTGGTGAATCGTAAATTTTATAAGATTTAGAATAATTGTATTATTCAATAAATTGTTTAAGCTTTCAATAACAATTTTACAAATTGAACTTAGAAAGCAAATTATGGGCCAATCGGTTTTCTTTTGTATAAAGAAATCCTTAACAAGCAATAATTGACCAATTTACTGCTAAAATTTAGTTAGATAAAGCCGCTTAAGCAATTATACAGCTATTTCTTCTTGAAATTCAGTTAGTGGTCTAATTAGATTGCCTTTTTGCAGTGCTGTTCGCTTGCGTGTCTAGCGCTTACAAAGGCTGAAATTTTTCGTTATCCTTAATTAATACATTCTGTGGCCTGAAAATATTACTTTTCCTTTTAAATTTTTCATATTTTGCCATACTGTTCGTTTAATTAATTAAAATGTTTTCATAGAAATATGAAGACAACAGATAATGGGTTTATAGAAGTATATACCTTGTTTATTAGTATTTTTTTTTATTTTCTTTACAATATCTTGAATATACCTACTATTGGAGACAAACTAGTTGGTATATACATTTTATATTTACTTTTTCGCGTAACATTAATATATCAAAGATAAGTAATTAGATATGTGTGTAGATTAAATCCTTAATAAACTTTCAGTTTGTTTCCTAAAATTTTACTTACTCGAGTAGCGCCATCTATTGATTGTTCTACTTACCTGTTTGAAGGGTCGCATGCCGCCGTTGATACGTAAAGAGTCGGCCGCTATTCCAGCGATTCCGTCTCCGGGTTCTCTTAGTTGTCGCAACGAGGCGCTAGGGTGGTGAGTGTGATGGACACAGTGTGCTGCACATGCGCTAGACTCCGGCTGCGAACTCTGGCGGATAATTCTAGTACTAGTTGCTGGTAGTAAAAGCGCCGGTGGCTGTATAACAGGACATGTACTGACAGCGTGTAACGAACTACAACCACAGGGGTAGTGTACAGCAGAACGAACGCTTTCCCGTGACATAGACCGCGCTAGTTGTAAGGCCGACATAGGCGCCGTGGATTGCCTCCTCTCACATACACGACATCTCGCGTAATTCTGTGGAACTAATTGGCATGAAGGCACTGAACCACGATGGGAACAAGTGGCAACTGGTGATACCAATGTTTGTGGTCGATCTGGGGGTTCCCGGCATTGTAATTCTATATCTGGTACACTTCGTGTGGTACCATCTTCTATTCTTATTGATGCGGCACTCTCTTCGCTACCAGGACCGCCGGATAGTTGAGGTCGTAAATGTGTGGTACAGTCCTGTCTTTGTAATACAGGTTTAACGGTCCTATTTTCTGTAGGTAAAATGACAGTGACTGATGGCCCTGAGACGAGAAGGCTGGCCGTCTCATCGCTGCTGCCATAGCCGGAATTTGTGATAGCCTCAGTACTGTCAGTTGTTGGCACAGACATCTTGATTTATTATCTGGAACAAGAAAAATAAATATGTATTTTTTGTGTTTTCTTGCCATAAGCTTGGTTCCTTTATAAATGTATTAAGTAAGACGCAACTATTCACGTATCTTTATCTCATAAATTACTAATAATTGATGCTGATTCTTAATTAAAGTACAAATAGGGTCAATATTATGAAACATACATTTTATAAGGATGTCTATTTAAATTTATTAAAAATATATAGTTTTAATAAACACTTCATTAATAATCAAAATTAAAACCATAGCGGACAAATTGATACCATAAATAATAATTATTATATATTACATTCTGTGTATATACTCGTAAATAGGTCAAATTAACATGTTATTAACGATCTTGCGATAAACTCACTAAAGCTTAAATAAACTAAATCACTCAGTATTTTTAGATACTTATTGATTTGTATTTTCTTAAAAGAATTTACAAAGGAAACAAAATATAAAATATTTAAATGAAAATGCTCTTTGCATGTCTGCAAATAGAATATACTGTCAGTGCTTCAGGTCACGTATTTTGCACTACAAAATTCCCTAAGGAACATTTCAAAAGAATATGTAACGCCTTCATATTTTAGGCTGAGATTTTTCGCTCTTCGCTACATTTCTGTTTTTGTGAATGCTTTTTAGTAAACTACGAAACATTCTTATAATATTTTGTAATATTGTATAAAATACTAGAAAAACACTCAGAGTACCAGTATATAGAGTAAGGTGCTCAGCATTAATCCGTTGCTGCATGAAATAAAGTCCAACCAACAAATATAATATTTTTGGATTTTCTCATATTGATAAGTTTCAAACATACAAAATTATAAGAAATATAACGTAGTATATCAATGCTCGTCTTTGTAGCGTATTCATCTCAAAAAAAGGTAAATATTTTTTTCTTACATGTACGACGTGCTACCCCATTTTTTTTATATTTTGACTACAGAATTGTCTAGCAACTCAAATAAAATTAGTCAATTTTAGATATATATTCAAAGATTTCGGAGCAAATGGGTATGATACACGAAAAGACGGATATGATGAAATTACAAGGTTTCCATTATTGCCTTTTAGCTACGGAGCCCTAAAACTGTATTATTGAGTAAGGCATATATTATGTATCTATGTTGAAGAGTTTCTTATAAAAGAAAAAGTGTGGAAAAAATAAACGTGTATATGAGACAGCTTTTATGTCGTATTTACTACTGTAACTCGACATTGAAAGAAGCAATTGTTAATTTCTCACCGAATATTTTCAGTAAAACTGAATTTCATGCAGGTGGTAGTTTTCTTAAGGCTTGACTACACAACACTTTCAATTAAATGTAAGATTCGAAAGTGTCTCTATTAGTGTAATTGAATAAAGTGAATTTTGGTGTTCACTTTGCATATTATTTAGTTGAGTAATTACTTAATCCCTTAGTGACTGCAAGTTCTTAATTAAAGCAGATTAAAACTTTGTTACGAGTTATAAAATAAACAAAAGTTGGGATGTTGGTAAATAACCTACGCCTGTACTATCACATCGATTTACATGCAAATTGCAAACACAATCTACTAAACCGTATGGTATTCTAACTAAAACTTTGAAATTGCCTAAGAAGTGTGAATGTGTGAGTTAAATATATACTCGCCTTGTAACAACTTTACGATAAGATGTTGATGTGGGCTTTTTTGTATAAAATAGATCTAAATTTTTATAATTTATGAATTGTCAACTACATCTACAACAATTTAATCAATAAAAAATTCATAAGCCATCTAAAAAATGTAATAGCGACCTAAATTAAAACTATATGGTAGATGTTTTTTATGAAATAAATTATAGTTTTAAAAACTAAAAAACGCAGTTTAATGATAAATCGTAAAAACGTAAAAAATATTTCTTAGTATAAAAGAATAAAGAGATTAACGAGAAAAAAGTGATTAATGATATCGTGAAAAAAAAGTGGGGTGTTCGATATCAGTTGTTATAAATATTCCATTGGTACGATTTTTAAAAGTAAAAGATTACCCCTTTAAGGGATGAATTTCGAAAAAAAATGTAATAAATAAAGCTAAATAGCACTTTCCGTGCATTTCACATCAAGAACGGTCGAGTTTCATACAATCTTTCATCCCCTGTTTTACCATTTTAGGAGATGAGTTTCGATTTTTTTTTATAAATTATTGTATTTTCATCAATTCTTGTTAAATATGCAAAGTTTTAGTTGAATTTGAAGTTTTGAAGTGGGTAGAAATCACGTTCAAAGATTTCGTGACAAAGATAGATAGATAGATAGATAGATAGATAGATAGATAGATAGATAGATAGATAGATAGATAGATAGATACAGGTGAAGTTAATAAAAGCGTGTTAAAAATCAACCTATTTATTATTAAAAACTTACTATTGTTAAAATAAAAGTGTAACTAACAGACGTTTTCACTCGAATCTGTAGTCATCTCGCTTATATAAATTGTATTTGACAAGCTTAATCTGGTGAGCTTCAGAGATAAGTCAGCCCCTTTTCATCAGTTACGTGTTAGATATTTGGGTGTTACCGGCCGGATTATAACTTAATTTTAATAGAAAAAGTAATGATATTTATTAATTATTATTTAACTAATATGTAACTTCAGGTCATAGTCTGTCTGTATAATTACCAATCCGTTTGATAACAAATCATAGTGATTGACGAAGTCTTACTGCTGACTGACTGTGACTTCACCCGTATCACCATCATTCGCAAATAGGGTGTACCTACTACATATAGATAAGATAACATAATTAGCCCTTTTTAATGTCCCACTTCTGGGCACGGGCCTTCATTCAATATGAGTGGAATCAGGACATAGTCTAGACCACGCTGGCCAAGTGCGGGTTGGCGGACTTCACATGTCTTTCGAAAACTTGCTAGGTTCTCTCAGACATACAGGTTTCCTCACGATGTTTTCCTTCACCGTAAGGCAAGTGATAATCATGTTAGACATCATTCGCACATGAAAATATCAGAGGTGCGAGACCCGGGATTTGAACGCGCTTCACTCGGTTTCCCAAGCGAGCGCGTTACCACTGGGCTACTACTGCCTTTCTACTACATATATCCATATAAAAATAATAAATCCTGTTCCTACGACTTCTATGAAGATGATTTCCGGTATATTTATTAGGTAACAATATGTTTAACAACTTAATATTAAGTCCATACTTAATATAAAATAATAATTAATCTATAGGTACATATGTAAATATAATAAAATAGTAACAAAGACAAAAATAGAGTTAATCGAAAAACAAAATGTAATAATCCAAATAATTACAACCATTCACAATGAATGGACATACCTAATGGCAAATTTTCGTGACGCCGCAGCTTACCCACGGAAACGCAAAACGGCTCGGTATTTACTACTCAAGAGTATCGCAGAGCTGTTTCATAAATCTCCGTAGAGGTATTATTAGTAGTTATTGTTTGGAAGTTAATCATTTTACATTCCGAAATCTATACATATAATAAAATTCTAACCTAGTCAAATCTGTACAATAAATATTTTTTGGAAAATCTTATTGAAGTAGTTATTATTACCAATACGGAGGCCGAATCTATAGTTTTTAGAATTTTCGTCTGTCTGTCTGGGAACGCATCACGAGGAAACCAGTGGACAGATTTTGATAAAATTTGGTATGATGATAGCTGGTTATCCGGGTCAACATAAAGAATACTTTTAACTGCGAGAATATATCTCATCTCTGAAAAATCTATATTAAACCCGAACCCGACGACCCAAGCGACGGTGAGTCGCTAGTTTTATAGAGTCTTTATATTTTCCGCTATTGTTAGGTAAAATAATTTTTATTACTACTTTCCTTTTGTTGATGTATGCACTAATAATTCAATGCATTTTATGTAGTTTTTAATCATTCATCAATATCATCGATAATAATTATAGTGTTAGGTGAGTTTAAGTACTTGTCTTATTTTTAAATAGCATTTCCCGCGGCTTCGCCCACGTTCTAACGACCAAAAACCAAATTCTTAGGTTTTACATATTAGTATACTCTTACATTGCAGTTTTTGTATTTTTTCTCAAAAATAAGATATTTTCCCGCGGTAAAAAGTATCATATATGTTGACCCGAATAAACCAACTATCACCATACCAAATTTCATCAAAATTCCTCCAGTGGTTTTTCTATGATGCGGTAACAGACAGACAGAAACACAAAAATTATAAAAACTGTAGATTAGGCCTCTGTATCGATAATAATGTTTATTTCAATAAGATTTTCCAAAAAATAATTAATGTACAGATTCGGCTTAGTTACAATTTTATTGTATGGATTATCGCTGCCAGTAAACTAAGCAAACCTGACTAGTTTTTTGATAAATATGTGTAGGCTTTTAGACCGCATGTGACAAGCGCGGTAATTCAATTCAATGCGAGATTGAGCCCTTTGTCCAGCGATGGGACGCTATAAAGGTAATTTACTATCAATAGAAACTTTTATTTTAGTTTTAGAAAACTATATTAGGAGTAATAAAGAGGTGAGTAATTTAATAAGAGTAAAAAGTTTATTTAAAACACAAAAAGTGAATAAATATTAACGAATTTTCAACTATAAAACATAAAATTTTGAATAAAATGTAAAACGTAAAACCGTTAGACCTAGTTTCAATAAAAACATGCACATGGTTTATTTCAATCTTAATTTACTTTGATACAGAGGAGTGTATTTATAATTTAAATTTCTAATTATACATTTTAGATATAAATACTAAGCTGATTTGTATTTTTCTTATTTTATTTTTATGACATACAGATTTATCTATACATATAATAAAATTGTAACTAAGCCGAATCTGTACATTAAATATTTTTTGGAAAATCTCATTGAAATAGGTATTAATATCGATACAGAGGCCGAATCCATAGTTTTTAGAATTTTTGTCTGTCTGTTACCGCATCACGGAAAAACCACTAAACGGATTTTGATGAAATTGGG